ATTCATGATTACAAAAAAAAGTTAGCATTTTCCAAGTATTTATATGTTATAATTTCAAGAATAGGCTTGTTTTTAAATATTTGTATGGCTTATAAATTCATAAAGAGCATTAAAAAATAACCAAAATTAAGTGTTCCTTTACTGGGTGTTCATTTACTGGTAAGAGCTGTTCCTTCACTTGGTCTTCTTACTACTTGTTATTTGAACCTCCAAAACTTTAAAACTATATTATGTAAGTTCTCTACAGTTTTTTTTTACATAATTTGCAATTGGTAACAAATATGTTGACACCGTCATTTAACTAAAATTACGAATTTGGAAATTAATATGATTTTTTAAAAGGCAAGCGAAGCTTAAGTGTTCCTTCACTGGTTAGTTTACCCTATATGCGCGTTAGCATGTTTGTATAAACTTCGTATAACCAATAATCGTATAGTTGTAAATTAATTTATTTAGTTTAATAGTTACGTATATTTATTTACTAATGTTATTAATCCACAATTAATCCTATTTATTATTAATCCACAACTTGTTTCATTCTAAATCTATACAGGGTGTTCAGAAAGAACTATTTCTTATAACTTTTGGAATCTTTTTAAATAATTGACAAAAAAATTGCATCAACTTTTGAATTTAAGCACTGATTAAACCAAAACACTGGTGAAATGGGAAAAGTTTCCGTTAAGGAAGGCGGATTAAAAGAACATTTTATTCTGTTTGATTCCAATAAGGCACAAGATGAAAGGCAATTTTAAATCAATCAATCAGTGTTAATAAATTAATCAACTAGTGTTCTTTAATAAATCAATGTCATTAAATTAATCAATCAATTTTATTAACCAATCAGTATTATTGAAATAATCTATCAGTGTTCTAAAAGAAATCAAGCTTAAATTAATCGATTAATGCTTTTAAATTAATCAATTAGTGTTCTTAAATAAATAAATCAGTGTCTTTAAATTAATCAATCAGTGCTATTAAATCAATCAATCAATGTCATTAAATTAATCAATTAGTGTTCGTAAGTAACTTTTATTAAACTAAACTCAGTAGCGCGACAGCCCATAGATGGCCAAGGCCTACTGTGCCCATCTCAGTTTTCTTGACCTTGAGCTCTGGGGTGCAGGAGCAGATGTTCCGGTCAGGTGGTCAGCCGAGCGTGGAAGCCCCAGTGTTCAGTTCCCGAACATGCTTGGTACTCATTTATCAGCCCACTGAAGGGATGAAAGGCTGAGTCCACCTTGCCTGGCCCGAGGATCGAACCAGGGAACTGTGGCACGACAGCGCGAAGCGCTACCACTCAGCCACCGGGAAAATAACTTTATTAGTGTTATTAAATTAGTCATAAGATTTATTAAATTAATCAATCATTGATTTCAAATAAATAAATCAGTGCTATCAAACTATATATGTAATTAAATCAATCAATCAATGTAATACCTCTGCATATGAATACACATCTGTGTAGCGAACTTCAATCCCTTGTTTTCTATTTTGGTACGGCTTGATACTAGCTGTGCGCACGTAGCAGTCCACCGTTGTATACCAAAAACCAATGAGATGACCAGCTTCGTGTAACGCAGTCAAAAAATCTTTCGGTTTGTTCTTTTTCAGAAGTTTTTGAAAGCGCTTCTCTTGGGACTTCCATGCAGTTCGATACCTCTCTTTAGCCGTGTCTGTGTCCAGTTTTTCCTGAATATGATGCAAGTATCTCTTCAATATACCTTTCACTGTAATAAAAAAATTCATCTTTATTTATCGGTCTTTAAATTTGATATCTATGCGTGCTTATATTTTTTTAATTTAGCTTTATTTACTTTAATTCTGATTTAGGATTCACATCTCTTTGGACATACTGTTTCTGGCCAAATTATTAGACGCACTAAATGATTCTACATAAAATCTTAATTATCAGGTGACACTAGACAGCTTTATTGTTTTTGCGTGACAGAAACCGGTTCGCACTTGTTTACGTTCGTGTATCAATTGGTTAAATTAGGCTATATAAAATATAAATTCGACTATTGGATAAATTAGACGATATATTATATAAATATGAAATATTTATTATATCAGGTATTACATTATTATATTGTAATAATTATATCAAATTATTAGATGCACTGCAGTTTTTTAATATTTGCGTGTTTTACACGAGTTTAAATGCAATAATTTTATAATTAAACATGTATGCAATGTGTTTTTATTCAGAATATTTTTCATATTGTTCCTATTTATATTTATTTTTAAACGTATTGCATTCAATGTTAGCCAATTGATACACTACCGTAAGCAAGTGCATATCGGTTTCAGCCGTATAAAAACAATAAAGCTGTATATTATCATCTGATAGTTAAGATTTTACATAGAAACTTACAGTGCGGATAATAATTCGGCCAGGGACCATAATCATATACTTGAAGTTCAAAAAGAAGATAAAACAAAAGAAAAGACATATGCAAAAGGAGGAGGGGAAATAATAATTAATGGAAAAAAAAACGATTAAAAAAAAAAAAAAAAAGAAGGATGAAATTTTTAAAAAAAACCGGAAAATAAAAGATATAATCTTTTTATCAGCCCACACGATTATATCCGCAAAAAAGAGTGCTTTCTGATATTGTATCAATATAGCCAAAGCAAAATATATTAATGCAATAGCGTGAGGAACACTCAAAAAGAATTTTTTACAAAAATTACAACAAATAAAATAGAACACAATACGTAAAAATAACACGTAAAAACAGAAAATAAAATAAAATAAAAAGAAAAAACAGTATAAAACAAAACAAAAACTATAAAGCGAGTAGCGAAATCTGATGTACTTACATGAACGGGAAATTTTTCAAGAATGATTTAAAAATATTTTCGCAACAAGATTGCTAGATTACAAAATATGAAAACAAAAGCGCAAATTGAGTGTAACTAGTGGAATTTAAAGTGCCGTTCTTACTGCATTGCTGAAGTGATTTGTTATGCTGTACATTGATTTGTTAGTTACCAAGGATGGGCCCGAAATGGATGTGCGTAAGGTAATATTACACTGGATAACTTAAAAAAGTTGACCATAAATAATATTAGAAAATAAATATTTATTTAAGAAAAATATAAAATAGAAAAGAGAAACATAAATTGACTGTTTCACAAATAATTTTAGCCACGGATTTGCCCGAAATGGATTTGCACATGGATTTGCGTATTGTTTTCCTTAACTTTCTTCGTGTTTTCTTGTATTTATATATCCATNAGTATTTCAAAAGGGGAGATATATAGATTAGGTTAGTCTTCAGTCTATCCTAATCTTCTTCATTTGTGATTCATTACTTTTCGATTATAAATTAATGTTTTTCCTCGCTTATGTGTTGACTTGTGTATATTTCTTTATTTAATTTTGGCAGGGATATCAGAAATGTACATTAGGTTGATTATTATGGAACAACATAAATTATAATCAATCATTTTTACAATTATTTGATAACACTAAACTAATATTATTAACTAACTAAACACTTACCTGTTAGAACATAACTCAGTCGGAATTCTTTTCGATTATAATAGGATGATGTTTTAATATCATACACCGGGGGGAACGCAAAATAAACTAAAACTGAAATCGAATAAAGAAACAAAAAACCGTACTCCATAGGAGAGTGGGCAAAAAAAGGAACAAATTTACGTAAGGAGCATAATTCATAGAGACGATCATAAACGTAAATTATTTTGACGATTGTAGTAAATAAAAGTAGTGCGTTTGACCAAAAAATTAAACTTCTGAGAAATTTATATCTCTTACAGTGACGAGATGGAGCACCTTCCATCTTGGAGGAATGTGTTCATCTGATAATATTTTGTGAATTTTAATCGATTGCTTTTCCTTATATCGCCTTGTATCGCTGCGCAAACTCATATTGCTAAGATTGCGCATACTTGGGGGGAAAGCGTAAAGGGACATAAAATAACCCATTGACTTTTATTAAAATGACCAATATAAAACCTATGAAAATATCAAGATAATTTAAACTGTATGCTAGGTTTTTGAATTATGTATCCGGGTTCAAAAAATTCTCAAAATTCGTACAAGTTTACCCGAGCAAAGTTAGCTGCAAAATATAATCCCACCCACGTGCCCAAATATCTTTTTCGATTTCATATTGATGAAAACTTATAAAAACCCTATTATTAATTAGTCAAAATAATCTATGACTACAAATTAAAACGAAACATTATATAAACTTTATATTTACATGAACGCTTCTATTTCTAGTATGAATCAGAAATGTTGATAAAAAAGTATTAGCTTATTAATTAGGTAGCACAAATAAGCATTAATGGGATAAAAATGCAGAACATTTATATTGACATAAAAGTGATGGGAACATTATTGTAATTATTAAATGCTATCAACAAATGCCATTCAAAATCTTATTTTGAACCCATGTCATAAATTTTCATTATTTTTTCAGGCACTGTGATTGGTTTAGCCATATTTTTAATTAAAATAAGCATGGCTAGAAGAATTGAAAAGATTAAACTATCTTTGCTTAAAAATTTTTATTTGTTTAATTAAACTCTATAATATTTAGGTCTTATTTAATGTAATATCTTTTTTTCTCCCCTCTTAGTTTGATTATAAGGAAAATATTTTGCAATTAAAACCAACAACTTTCCGAGAAGCTAGAGTGCTCAAATTTCAATTAGAATTCTTTGCTGCATGGAATACAAGATAGCATGATCACTTCTCAAATTTTTAAAAAGGCAAAATTCATTCTTCAAAGTTATAGATTCTTTCTTCAAAGTAACAGAAAAATGAAAATTGAGAAAATAATAAAATAAGAAGTTTCTAATTAACATGTTTTTCTCGATGACAAAGAAGTATAAATTATTCCTATTCTTGTCATTTTTAAATAGAAAAACGAGGGATAATTATTTTCGTAACGGACTTCGTAAAATTCCTCAATGTTTTTCGAAAGTGATTAGTTATAATAATAAAAGCATAGTTTTAGTTATAACAATAAGCGAATTTTTTGCTCCTCTTTAATAATATTTTCAAAAATATTTTTTGTTTTACACTGAATTCTCAAGCTTTTTAAGGCTAATTTTTTTTTTTAAATAAAATTAATAAAATTTTTTAAATAAAAAGTTAAAAAAATTATAATTAATTTTAGAATTTAGTGTTTTTTTTAAATATTGAAGAAAAATGATTGGGAACAATATACATCTAATAGTATCCACTGAAAATATACGTTGGTATGGTTTTGGTCTGCTGGGCTGTAATGCCAATAAGAAGTTTTTTAATAGAAATTACTCAAATACTAATGACCATTTAATATTATAATGACTGCTGAAATGACTACTAAATTATTATCAATATGAAACATTTTTTTGACCTATAGTTTTCTGTGATTGACTTGGATTCTGGCAACAGTAATACTGTTTTTTAAAATAGATACCGCTGATTTTTAATCCAAATGCCTCGTTTGTTCTCAAAGTCTAATCAAATGGCCATGTTTAACATGTAAATACGATAAAAAATACTTGGAGTATTTCACCCAAATTTTATATTTATACTTTTAAGTAATAAAAACTGACACTATTTACTGAAAATGCTCGTAAATACTGATTTTTGATTTAAAATATTTGCTGTGTACAAAGCCCTTAATTTAGTAAAATAAATTCCCTCTTGAAATTTATAAAAATTGACTAATGGCATCTGTTGAGGGGGTTGGACTAACTTATTTTAAAACTTGGGAGAATATCTGGGAAAAATAATGGATTTTTCTTTTTCTTTTAAGAGGCCTACCCGCCGGAAGTAAGATTTAGTATTGTAGGTGATTTTTAATATGAAATTTCGATTATGAAATATAAACAGCACTTAGAATTAGCATCCGAAATTATTATAAAAGCTAGCTCCTAGAAAATTAATTAATAAAATTAAACATAGATCGAAATTAGATAAGAACAAATTTAAAATTAGAACAAAGCTATAAGAGCAACAAAAAAAAATATTAAAACACTTTTCCCGGAAAAACAAACCTGTATACGTTTCAACGAAGGCAAAAGCATGATGGAGAGGAGTTTCTTTTTTTTTCTTTTTTTTTTCTTTTTTTCTTTCTTTTTTTTTCTTTTTTTTTTTGTTAATCAAAATGCAGGAAAATCCTCGTCGCTTGCAGGAATATAAATGTTTCCCGAAATGTAAAAACTAATTTTATTAACTATCTTACTTCTTTGTGTTTTCTAAAGCAATCTATTGTACAGGGAGGTACGTAAATATGGCCATGCCATATATATATATACAGTCGAAATTTTTTCGAGGAACCAAGAACATTTTGGAAATTTATTCGTGAAATAACTTCCAAATAGCGAAGTGAATTTTCTATTTAACGAACTTTTCTTTGAGTTCCGCTTTCCCTATTTCCCAAAATATTTCAGAACATTTCAAACTAGTTAACGCATTTTATGAGGGAAATGACCTTGAATTGTTTTTCGAAGCCACTTAATTTTTAGAGAAAGCAGTGAAATCCCTTTACCCTTTTGTTGGCATTTCAAAGGAAAAACTCGATAAAATTAACAAATTTTATCAGTAGCAATTAAACTTATGAACGCGTGCGGTAATGTATGTTCTAAATTACTACTATAATAAATGTAGCTATAATTTTATACATACATTTAGCTTTTTTTAGTTGAAAATGTATGTAGCATGATAGTGTAACACTGGATAATGTTTTACTCTATTCTTGCTTTTCATGCAAATTTCTTTTATGGTTAAGATTTGTGAGAGAATAAATGGTAGATACTAGTTTACTAGATAAAGGTGTATCAATTACCATTTTAATCATGTCTAGTGTTTATGAATTTAAAACCTGTTTTGCGTCGTTCAAGTATTTCAAAAGGGGAGTTTCTATTTAACGAATTTTTCATATAACGAACTTATTATCGGGATTTAGCGACTTCGTTAAATAGAAGTCCGACTGTATATATATTCTTTTTATATTTAGAAACCGTTCTCGAAAATAAAATAAAAAAGGATATGCATAATAGGACTACAAATTAATAGTTAATCTAGGAAGCAAGAAAGCTCTTGGATTCTGACCACGCCTGATGAAAACACGCTAACAGTTTACTAAAATGATTACTATTCACGAACCGTTTAGAATAGAGTGAGGGGGAAAATAAACCATTGCAAACAGTCTATGGTCTTTTATTTTTTATTATAGTTGTGTGTACTAAAGTGATGTGGAGTACAGGTGTTGTCGTCCCTATAATCTTAATTTGCGATTAAGGGGGGAAGGAAAAAATTCGGTGAGTATCGATGTAGATGAACGCGGAAATAATTTTAGGAAAACCGAAGTGTCAAATATAACCAACTTATCAAAATTTAAACAGGTTTATTAGAAGAGGTTTTTTTGCTGTAACATATTATATGAAAATTGAATTTAATCAATTTTAAAAAATAATCACTTTTTCCACCCCCTTTAGTTCCATTTATTCGCCCATGTACGGCATCTTGACGATTTGTGTCAAAATTTAAGGGGCGTTAAATCAGTATTTTCCGTCTTCTCTGTTTTGATATTTAAAAAATAAATGCTCCAAGCTGCCCGAAAATCTAAATTATTTCCGTGTTCAGTATGCTCGGCCGAGCATATAAGGGTGAAAAAAAAAAAAAAAAACAGGCTGGATCAGAGTTTCTATACATGCTCTAACTTGGTGAAACCATCGGCATCTTTATGAACACATAAAGATTGCTCGCGCATTAACTTTTCCTAAGAACGCGCCTCGTTTTTTGGAGATTGTGGTTAGAGGTCATACTGTATTATTGTATTTCGTTTGACACTTTTGATTCTTTGTTTAGTTGCAGTTGCCTATTTTAAGTTTTGCACTTCTTAAAAATTTAGTCCAAGTAAGTTACACATTCAAAGGGGTCTAAATTTAAAATTTCACCATTGGAAAACAAAAACGCTGTCAAAATCTAGCAAATTATTATTAAGGAAGACTGGTGTACGCCAATTAATGCCGACTATTAATGACTGGTGTTGCCTATTTTAAATTTTGCACTTCTTAAAAATTTAGTCCAAGTAAGTTACACATTCAAAGGGGTCTGAATTTAAATTTCACCATTGGAAAACAAAAACTCTATCAAAATCTAGCAAATTATTATTAAGGAAGACTGGTGTACGGGGCAACAATTTTTTTTCATTGCGAATTGAAATTTGAAGATGTTTCTGGTAATCATATGTATTTCAACTTTTTTCTGATCTTTCATCCCGCAATCAGACTGCTTTTTGGTGTTTCGTACACTGAGATTCCTCAATAGTGATTTATTAGATTTCACTAAGTTTTGTTTGCTTCTTGTTTAAATATTAATTTGCGAAAATACATGAAGCATTTCATAAAAAAAATGATTTGCAATAAAAAATATAAAACGGCCAAGTGACTGGCAAAAACATTAGATTGCTTCTCTTAAAATAACAAAATACGACTCTTTTTTATGCATAACACTGAAGTAAACTCCGTATTAACTTTAGTAACGAAATAAACCTTTTCATCTATTTAAAAGGCCTCTACCATCACCATCTTGTATTTTAGATTAAATTATTGACTTTCGTTTTCTTGATATTTTTTTGTGCTTCACAAACTTTTAAGGATATAATATTATTTGGAAGCACAATAGCTTTAAAAAAGTAGCGAAATAAAGAGGTCGTTTAATTAGATTGAGATAAATAGCACTTTCAGGCCTGGTGGTTAAGTGGGAGCGATTCGCGCTCTGGCACGAGTCCGAGGTTCAATCTTTGGACCACATAAAGCTGAACAGGAAGAAAAAAAAACCTCCAATTAT